AGCCGGGCTCTGCAGAGCAGCCCAGGACCCCGTGCAGATGTTTTCCTGGTGCGGGGCCATCCAAACAGCTGGGAGGGACCTTCCCGGCGGGATCGGATGGGATCCCAGGGCTTTGAAGTCCGCAGGGTTAGGCAGCCAGAGCAGCCAGCCCTGGGGAAGAGGCCAGGGATGTGACTCAGGAACGGCTCCGGTGACAAGGGGAAAAGGAAAAGCAGTTTATTATGTCTGTGCCGGCGTCCAAGTCTCCGCGCAGGGGAAGCGACGTGCGGCTGAGCCCTGACGGGGAGGGGAGAGCCGGGGGGAGCCGGCGGCGTGGGGCATCACCCCTGGCATCGCCTGACCCCCCCGAGGGCTCCGCTCCCATGGGATTGCTGCAGGACACGGCCAGGTTTCCAGCAGCATCCAGCCCCTCTCCCCAAAATGGCCAGCACAGGGAACCCCTGGGCACGAAGGAAGGAGCGGGCACGAGTCGATGCCCTCACTGCACCTTTGTTAAGGCAGTTAATTAGCCTCTCCAATTGGCAGTGGCTGAACACATGGGGAAATGGAGAGGGTCAGAGCCCAGTTCCTGCCTAACGGAGCTGAGGGCCTGCACCCTCTCCAACGGGAAGGGACTGGGAGGGAGGAACTTGGGGAAGACAAATGCAATTCGATGTCTTTTCATCCCTCCCCCTCCTGAACTATTAGGTTTTATTGTCACAGACATTTTCTCGAGCGCAGGGGAATGGAAACTCTGCTCCTTCCTGAGCTGCGGACAAGCTGAAATAGGAGAGAATGACAGAGGGAGTGTGTGAGGACGGGAAGGGACCGGCCCCGCACGCCCTCCCCGCCGGGGTTAATGCCTTTTGCAGGTGCCGTTGCCCAAATCCCCTGGATCCGCCGTTGCCCCCGGCTTGTGAGGAGCCCGGCTGCTGCACAGGGTCTGGGGCCCCGGGCCCACGGAGGCGGCTTTGTCACTCACATCACAGATCCCAAGAGCAGACAGAACATTAAAACCAGGCGTTTTTATCTCCACCTTCCCAGGAGGGGCTGCGCCGCCCGCCAGCAGCCCCAGCGCCGCGATGCACCACGCAGCTCCCGCGTCCCGTGATGGATCAGCTCCGAAAACAACACCCTGCTAATCTTCCTCCCCGGCAGCCATAAAACTGTCTTCCCAGTTCCTTCGGAGAGGATTTACAGCAGCTCAAAGCATCCCGGAGCGGCTGGTGGAGGCCGGACCCCCCCCTGGGTGCTGGCCCCACACCTGGGGCACATCCTGGCAGCGGGGTGATGCCCCCGCGCCCCCCAGTCCCCAACCAACCACTCCACTTGATTTCCCCCCAAACTAACACTCCTCAACGGGGACTTGGCAGCTCCACCAGAGCAGGTCAGTGCCCCCAGGGCCATGCCTGACCCCTCAGAGCCTCTTGCAGAGGTCCCAGCCCGGCTGCCCCCCTAAAAGGCCCAGGAGGAGAAGGGGTTTCTTGGCTCCACACTGGGCGCTGCCACCACGGAGCAGACAATGGGAGGGCACCCGCTTGTGCTGGGCACGTGGAGTTTTCCTGCAGCTCCTGCGAGGCCGGGATGCTCGCATGGCCCGGCCCCTCGCTGGGCTGGGTCTCAGCCCCCATGATGGGGGGGTAGATGGGGCCAGGCTCTGCCCCGACAGGGACAACCTGTAGCTTTGGTCCCAGCCTTGGTGACCGCCCCACGAGTGGTGAGACATAGAATAGAATCATAGAATGGTCTAGGCTGGAAGGGACCTTAAAGATCATCTAGTCCAACCATCAACCTAACTCTGACAAAAAAAAATAAATAAGAAATAAGCAATAAAAAAATCACTAAACCACATTCCTGAGGACCATGTCAACCTGTCTTTTGAACACCTCCAGGGATGGTGCCTCAACCACTTCCCTGAGCAAAATGAGGGGCAGCATCCCACCCTCCCACACCATCACCAAGAGGCGGCTGCTTTCCAGTCCCGGGGGCTTTCTGGGGTGTGTGACCCCACAACCCCCAGGCACAGCCCACGTTGGGCTCCTCCCGGGGGCCAAGAAAACACCAAGAAACACTTACAGCGGCGGGCAGTGGGAGCCACAGGGCTGCCCCCCGCTCCCCCCGCAGCGTATCCAAGTGGGAAACCAAAAACCCGAGGCGAGCTGTGCTGAGCCCCTGCCAAGAGCCACGGACAGAAATATCCTTGATTTCACCAAGGTGTGAATAACTTTTGACACTTCTAGGGCTTATTGCCTTAAAAAAAAAAAAATCCCCCAGCAGTCCCCATTCACACTCCGCAGGACTGTGTTTCATATGAATGGAATATATGAATCACTGTAAAGAATTTAAACGCTTCCCTGTACAAAGAAAAGCTCCCTCCCTGCCTCTGCTATTGCGGCCGGGCTCCGTGCAGCCTAAAACAAAGGCATGGCAGGGGACGGGGACAAATCCCCATCCCCAAACCTTCTGCAGGGTAGCTCGGCGGCCGAGGGCAGCCCCGGTTTTCGGATGGAGCCAGGCAATGGGGCAGAGCCGGCCGCCCTCCACCTCCCGCTCCAACCCATAACCACCGCCCCTGGCCACGGCTCTCGTGTTTTCCGAAATCCCGATGAGCTCCTGACAGCTCCCCGGGTTCACATCTTCCTGTGCCTTTCCCATCTGGGCTCGGCTCCCACCCTCAAACCCCACTTTTCAGCCTTGGAACAAGCAAATAAAGAAAATGGCTTTATTTCCATCCCTCTGCCCAAACACGCCCGGGACAATCGGCTGCCCCGCTGTCGGGGGGGATCGGGTCAGGCTGCCTGATGGAAACCGGGCGAGATTCCTCCTGCAAAGAATCTCTCCCAGTTGTGTTTTTGTTTTTTTTTTTTAAGCAGTTTGGTTTTCGCTGCTTCTTTTCCCCTTGGGCAATAGGGCGAGGAGGAAAAATGTAACAGGAAGCCTGGTGCGGGCTGGCTGGGTTTCCAGCCGGGATGTTTCCCCTGGCATCGCTGCCTCGGCTCGGCGCGCACCAGCGCATCCGCAGCCCCGGCAGCGCGGGGGAAGCCAGGACGGGGCTCCGGGCACCCGGGTTGTGTTCAGTCCCTCAAAGAGCAGAGGTAGAAACGCCAAATGTGGCCAGGGAGGGCCCCGGGAGCCCCCATCTCCCACCGCCCACCATGGCACTGCCCCGCCGCCAGCTCGGTGTCCTAAATTCATCAAATCCGGCTCTGAAAGGAGCAGCTTTGTTTCCCAGTGGCCCTCGCAGACGGATCAAAAACTGCATTTTTACAGAAGCAATAAAAATCCCAGGAATTCACCGGCCTTATGATTTATTAAACATGTTCCTTATAGCAAAGCTGCCCATAGATGAGAAAATATCTCCGGCAGGTTATTGCCTCGCCTGGGGCTACCGTACAGGGGGGGATCTTCCCTGGCTTCTTGGGAATGTTCGAAGCCGGGGAACCTGGTAGATCAGGAGCCAATTAATGGCAACGCTCTTAAAAAAAAAAAAAGAACACCAAATAAAATAAGCACCTTGTATTTCCCAAGGTGTTTGTGGAAGGAGCCGCGGCGACCTGCCCCGATCCTGCCGGTACCCGGGAGCCCTCGGGTGCAGATGTTTGCAGCTGCAGGAGGGGACAACCTCCCGATGGGGCCAGGGCATCGAGCCGTGTCGCCGTGCCAGCAGCGGCCATCCTAAAGGTCACAGCACTTTCCCCAAAACACTTTTGTTCTCCCAAACAGATTTTGTAACAGCAGAAAGCAAGGTCCCAACGTTAGGATGCGGGTCAGTCCGTCCGGGCCCCGAACACGGCGAAGCCTCTGGGTGGGATTCATTGGGAACAGCACCCGAATAAAGTGGGTCAGGGGAAAAAAGTAGGGATGAGGAAAGGGGAAAAAGAAGTAAAGAGCAACAGGCAGGGCAGGACCTCGCCTGGAAAGAGCCGTTTGGAAGCGCCCTCGCAATATTCCCCGCTGCATGGGGAAAAGTAATCAGAATTACAGGGACTCGTGACTGAGAAATTCAAGCGATTTTCTCCCGTCCGCGCCCGGCGCGACCCGCGGGGGACCCAGGTGAGCGGGGGGGAGCGGGGAGGGAGCCCGGGGAGCGGCGGGGCCCGGGGGCGGCGGAGCCCGGGAGAGACGGAGCCCTTACCTCTGCGGAGCGCGGCTCGGGCGGGCAGGGGCTGGCGGGCAGCGGGCGAGAGGGGCCGGGACGGGCCGGGACGGGCCGGGCACCCCCGCCGCGGGGCGGAGCGGGTCGGTGCGGGGCGGAGCGGAGCCCCGCGGGGCGGTGCGGAGCTCAGCCGGGAGGTGCGGGGAGATGCGGAGCGGGCAGCGCTGCCGGGCTGGGCTGGGCTGGGTTGGGCTGCTGAGATTTCCTCTTTTTTCCCCCTCTTTCTTTTTTTTTTTTTTTTTTTTTTTTTTTTTTTTTTTTTTTTTTTTTTTTTTCTCCCC